CCGGATTTACCCAGCAGTTTCTCGGGGCCCCGGACGCGCCCCTGGTTTCGCGCTGAGTTCCACAATGCCAGCCGGACCAAAAGAAACGGGGTGTTCGGTTTTTCCCTGAGACACGTACTGGGGGATGTTGGACCCCTCTCGTGTACCACTCCCCCATTGCTGCAGCTGGGATCCTGAAATCGCAGGGTCAGAACTCCGGGCTTAGGGAGGGCTCACCCCCATACTGTTCGTTGACTTTGAGGTGGGCTGAGGGGGTGTTTAGACCTTTGATTACCAGTGAGGAAATAGGTTGGGAGGAGGATGCTTGCTTTTTCATGGCCAGGGCCCCAGTCCCTGAGCTAAATCTATCTGCAGTTCGGAAGCAGTTGACACTTGGATATCTTGGACTGACTCTGAGTTAGTACAGGGGAAAGATCCTAAAAATCTTTAATTCTTAACTGAAAGTGACAGCACTTCGTTGAATCAGCTAGAAGACTAACTTTAGGAAAACCCTACAACTTCAGTGGTAGTTTGTACCAAGTATAAAAAGTTTTTCCAGATTGCCTCAAACTAGTCCTTTGTGTCAGTCCCCAGATAGTGTATGGATGTACACACACACATATGTTTTTAAATTATGGATAGATACAGTGTTGAGATGTGCAAGTACCCAGCAGTAATGTCTCCCTCCTGTAACGAGGTAAGTGCAAATCTTGGAGAGTTAAAGTAATTACAAATGCCAACAGTTGCCTCTCCTTGTGGCAGTTTTCAGTATGAGACATTACATTCCCCTCACCAGTGTTTGGTTTTTTTTCCTTCACAACTGAACATAGTGGGACTAAATTAAATCTCATGAGAGTCACACTGAGGCTCTCAGGACACACTGTGATTCTTGGCTTGTCTGAGTTGTACTGAGTTATGAGACCAGTGTTATCAAGAGCATCAGAACTTGAATGTTTTCTTTTTCCACCAATTTTTATAAAACACAAGAGGCAGGCTGCAGTACATTTTTCACTTCATCACAAAAATGCTACACTTTGAAGCTAGCTGTGCTGGGAAGAGGAGCCAGTGCCCGTCCGTCTGCCAGAGCTCAGAATGGTCCTTACCTGCTGGCAGCTACTTGCTGAGATGCAGGGTACAAAGGCAGGGAGGAGTTTCAATATGTGATGATGGTCAGGTTGTTTAAAAATGCAGGAAGAGCAGTCAGTTTGGCCTTGACTCTGAGTCAGTGGTCCTTTTGAAAGTCTGGCTTGCGTTTATAAGGTGGAGCAAATTGAGACGGAGCAGAAGGCAGGAGGCTTGATTCCAGCTCTGCCTCCATGTCGCTTTTGTCCTGTGTCTAAGGAGATGCTCAGACTGTATGGTCTCTAAGCTCTTCCCCATAGCATGTTTTAGATTCTAGAAAGCTCACGGCAGTCTTTTCGTTAAGCCCTGTTGAGTGAGAACATTTGTCCTGAGATGCAGTTTATACAGACCAGGTGGGAAAAGGGAGAGGCCATTTGCTTTCTGGGGCCTAGCTTATCGATTGTCAGACCTTGGGAGGTCTGGGGAGGGTTCAGGATCGGAGTGCTGCCTACCGATACCCAGCAGCTCCCCCCACAACATTGGGTAGGTGGCCCACAGCCCCCTTCCCCTTGGCAAACAGGCACCATATTCAGCACCAGCCACAGCAGCACCCTCAGCAGCCCCACATCACTTTGGTGCAGCGGCCTTAGGAGGAAATCCAAAGTTGCAGTGAGCGTGTCACTGTCCTCCCGCCATCTTCAGGCAGATGGACTCAGCTGAGAGGGGCTTAGGAAAACATGCGCAGTGGTGCTGTGAGCAGTGCTGCTCATGCTTACCCTTTGGTGGTAACACTCAGGCCAAATACCGCACGTGGGGCTGTGCCTACAGTATGGAGCACGAATGACGCTATGACTGCCTTCTGTTGTGCTGCTCGGTGCCCTGATTGTCCATCATGCGAATCTTTGATTCCTGAAAAAGGGAGAACTTTTAAAAAATGAATATACTATCCTGAGGTAGGAAAGTGGGGAAATAGTAGAAGTGTTCCTTCCTCAGGTGAACTTCACAGTTGAGCATTTGATGGATGAGTAGGGAGACCCAGGAAAGGGAAGTGGTTCCCGGTTACAGGTGGAGCCAGCACCCAGTGCACTGGCTGTCCCCTGCCATGTGCCTCAAATGGTCGTTTCTGAAAAGGTCATTGAAAGAGTGAGAGTGTCTTTATAAAAACTTTAGGACTGGATTTCTTTTCATCAGGCATGTCATGCTTCACTTTGAGTATTTGGAACAGGCAAACTGAAGCTAACATTTGGAGCAGTAGTGATTTATATAGCAAGCTAGTGATTGCTGATAAGTGCTTTTTAAACTCTTTGGAAAATTCCTTTGGTATTTCTGGTTTGAGTTTTGTTACTAAACAAAGCAGCAGGGGCCATGGGGGAAATTATCCTGCATTTGTCTAAGATTAAAAGACCTTTTTGGTCTTTATTACATCGTAAAAATATCAAAGTCAAGCCTGAAGATAAAAGAAAGTCGGAGAGGCCTTGCATTTCTGGAAAGTGCCAGAGACTTTTGTCCAAAATCAGAATCGCCACGTGCTTCTTGGTGAGCTCTGGAGACGGCCTCCTGAGTGTCTGTTCAGGTCTTTGTGAACTTGATCCTGTCATCAGGATACAGACGTTACCACCCTGGCCAGAGGGGCGGATGGAGGCCAGATGCTCACTGTCGCTGAACCTTGGATGTCAGCACATGGTGTTTTTATTGCTGCTCAAAGCCCAGTGCCTGGGGGCCAACCCGAGGTCTGTTTGTCTCTCATCCAGCAGGGCCTCTGCGCTCCCCTGCCTGGTGAAGATGCGTCCCTCATAATGAGCCTTCTTGCTTTACTCATAGGTGGGAAACTACCTCCGTATGTTCCGAGGTTCTCTGTACAAGAGATACCCCTCGCTCTGGAGGCGACTAGCCACTGTGGAAGAGAGGAAGAAAATAGTTGCATCGTCACATGGTAAAAAAACAAAACCTAACACTAAGGGTGCGTCTTCACGAGGGTTTGTAAACCTGTTTCAAAACCACTCGCTTATGTCATGAAGATAAAACGTTTTCACTCCAGTGTGTCTTCACTGCAGCCCCTACCTTAGTTAGTGTGGCTTGGCGGTAGCATCCAGGGCGGGGTCGCCGCGGAGAACAGGTGGTGGTGCTCAGGTGTTCTCAGCGGAGCCAGTGGGCGTGAGGGGTGGGGCCGGGGCCAAGTGGGTGCCGTGAAGACACTTTGGTCTCAAAACGTTTTAGGAATGCTGTGATGCTCTGCCATCTGCCGTGGGCGTGTCCCACAGTCACCCTCCATGCAGCCCAGTGGTGGGGGGCGGCCTCAGTCCCCGCTCCCCTCCGGGCTTTCACCGCTTCGCTTCTCGGAGCACGTCCATCGCGTAGCACGTCATTTTGGCCGCCGGTCCGCTCGCGCTCGTGTGCATGTCTGCTGGGTGTCTGGGCCTGCTGGGGCGCTGCCACCCGAGGGCGGCGAGGATGCTCTGCTGACACCAAGGCGCCCCAGGGCTTTGGGCTCTGATGCTGCGCTTGGCGGGTAGCGAAGCTGCTTCCCACCTGGCGGGGGCGCTCGGTAGAGAGCAGCCCGGGCCCTGTGTGCGTGCGTGTGCCCGTGCCCTTCCGTACGTGCGCCTGTGTCCCTGTGTGCGCGCGCCTGTGTCCCTGTGTTGCGTGCCTGTGTCCCTGTGTGCGCGTGTGCTTCGCAGCCCTCCAGTCCGGGTGTGTGGTCTGTGGGCGCTGCTGTGGTTTCGTCCTCTGTGCGCGAAGTTGCGTTCTTTTAATGCAGGAGCCGGAGCTGCTTTTTATCTGCTTTTGTAACATTTCACTCTCTCGCTTTAAAAAGCCCCCATCTGTCCTCCCCCCGCCCCCATGGAGCCCAGTCGCTAACGCAGTGAGCCCTAGCCCTGCTTTTCCCTCCGCAAGCCTCCCCCGAAGAGGGTGTCGGCACCTCTTCCGCCTCGTGCTTGG